CGCCCCCTCCCAGCCCCACAGACTCCAGGCAGGCGGGGAGCAGCTCTCGCTCTTGAATAAGTTTATTTGCAGCTACACAAGGGGATGGGGGATCCCACCGCCAGCACAGCCCCTGGGGTAGGACGTTCCTTGAGGCCAGCCCAGGGTGTTGGCCTGGCAGCGCTCGCAAAATGGCTGCGGGGTGCCCGGCCCCCCCGGGAGGCCAGGGGCTGCCGCTGGGCCCCTCTGCCCTGGCAGCACTCGGTGGGTTTGGGCAGGATGAGTTCCTTTGGGTGTCCCTGATGACAGTTTTGGAGCAGTTTCTGTGCTGGGTGCTGGTGCTGGTCAGTTTGCTGGGCAGAGAGGTGCAACGCAGGCAGGCCCCGAGGGCTAGGTTAAGGCAGCGGGAACCCGCAGCGCTAACTGCAGACACGCCTCAGCCCCCTGCACCGATGGAGGAGGCCGAAGGGGCACGGCCGAGGCACGGCTCGGGGCTGCGACAGGCGGCCTCGGCCCTCCTCCGGGCGCTGGGACATGGTGTCACCCCTCGAGGGTGGAGGAGCTGAACCGAAGGGGAACCAGGTGGTTGTAGCTGGTTATAGAGGCATAAATAGGAAAAGAATCCAGACTTCCTGAATTCCAGGCAGCGCTCTAAGCTCAAAGAGCATAATTAAATATTTAAAATAACCAAACAAACCTCTTCCCCCTCACTGCCTTCCTTAGCTCTTTACACCCATCTTCTTGTTGCCAGTTTGGGTCTGACAGCGACGGTGCTGAGCGCTCAGCACCTTTCACAGCCAGGCCCCCCTTAGAAATAAGGAAAGGATGAGGGAAGAGGGTCTGTCTTCTTAAATAAAATAGAATTTAGAAAGCATTAAGAATTACATTAACCCTCTGCTAATTATTATTATTTACACCAATTAAAATTAGTTGATGTCATCTGGAATTGAATAGCCGACTGCTATGCGAAGTAGGCCCAGAGAAAGACCCCGGCACATACACATAAGAGCAAGTTGATGTTCAGGACGTGTTTCACCAGCGGTTTCTCCTCCAGGGAAGCCACGGGAAGCGGCTCGGGTTTACTCGACGCCGCGTTCTCGGTATTTTCCTGTTTGCGCTCCATCCCGCAGAGCCACAGAAAGGTGGTCGTCAGCTTCGATCTCCTTTTGGCGTTAGTCGTACCTACAAGGACAGGCAGTAGTGAGGTATAAATCTCACCAAGCAAAGCCCAGGAATGTGTCAGTGTGGTCCTGTACAAAGGGTTTTGCTACAGAAACGCACCAGCATTCTTTAACTGAATACGCTAACTCTGCTGAGGTGGAGGAAGCCCTTCAATTGGCATCTTTGGGGGCTGTAGTACCAATTTCATTCTTCCCTGGAGCTCTGAGCTCAGGTTCTGCTGTTCCCAACACTTTAAGGAACAGTTAACACTAGACCAAACCTAAAAGCTGAGCTGTAGCTGCTTGGTGCCCATCAGCTTCCTCTTGCAAGTGCATGCTCTAGTCCTCTGAGGGTTACTCCACGCCACACGTGTGTAAATTGAGTTTTCCCAGCTCTGGTGTGGGTTAGGGCACACACGACTAAATGCCGGGAAGGCAGCGCTCATGCACAACAAACGTGAGACTTCCCGACAGTTGGGAGATCTGCACCCAAACTCATTAACTTACTGATCTGTTCAACAGCTTTTTATAGATCAAAGGAGTACACAGCAAAACCTGCAGAGTTACATAAACAGTGTCCCAAGCCTGGCAAAAACAAGTGATGATAATCATCGCTGGAAAATGCAGAGTGAGTTGCTATGCATGTTTGTACCTAATACCGACAAGTACAAGTTTTAAAAAATGTAAATCCTCCTTCACTGATCTGTCAAGAACTCCGCCCAGGGCTCTGGGTTCTCCCTGCTGCTAGAGTCGATCAGAAAACATCACTGAAAAACAGAAATGGAATTTCATGAAAATAATTGTGGTTTTCCTCCACCCTCCCCTTTTTCAACCAGTTCTCCTTGCAGCAGGTGCAAGCAGCACCAGTCCCTAGCGCAGGATAATGGGCATGGCTTTCTGTATCCCATCCAGCTCCTTCTTGATTTCAAGCATATGTAATGCCATCAAGAGATGGAAAAGAAACTAAACTTCTGCTTAGGTAAAACCATCAGGTGAAAACCTCCTAGCATGCCCTGAAGTTACAGAAATCCAGAGGAAGTAGTTTTAACGTTTCTCGTCTTCAAAGCCTTTACATAATGCCTAGGGTTAAGCGTAGGTATTACTGAATAGGATGTCGGAGCACTTACATTTATTATCATCTGAACTATTTTCAGAAGCAATGCTTATATCAATCTGGAGAGCTGGACGCTCAGCTTCACACACTCCTTTTGCAGCATCAGGGGAAGGGCTGACTGCTAGGTCTTTCTTGACTGGTAGATCCCCACGTGTGAACCAGGTAAGCCGACTTATCTGATGGCATGAAGAGTGGTGTTAAAGACAACTGCTGTCATGGTTCTTTAAAGGAGCACCTTAGCAGCAGAGCAGCCTGCAGAGAGAATACTTAGAGGGGCCGAAATCTGTTCTCCTGCTCTGTTGGAGCAGGTGAACAGCCAAGTGCTCAGCTGGTGACTACAGCGGTGGCTACCCTGGGAATGGTGGGTTCAGCTTTGTCGGGAACACGACAGCCGTTGGTGCAGCTGCGCTGGCTGGAGGAGGCTGTTCTTCACTCCCTGCTGCTGCGAGGAGACGGTTCTGCACGGGACCACCACCGCGGATGCAGACTGAGAGCAGGTCAGTGAAGGGAGCAAAAAGAATGGAAATTGTGGCCAGGGAGGAATGATTCAAAGAACTGGGGTTGTTGAGAGAAGACAGGTGGGAGATATGATAATTTTCTTCAAATATGTAAAAGACTCATTAAAGAGGAATGTTCTCAGCATCAACGATAGGGTGGATAGAAAGGGATGAGCACAACATGAAGCTGGAAAGATTCAGGGTGGAGATGAGGAAAAAACCGCGCCTGGGAGGCAGGTGAGCTCTCAACTTGGTCGCGCACCTCCCTGGGCATCCTCCCTCTCTGGGGATTTCTCAGAATAATTCCCCAGGTCTGTCAGAAACGTGTCGGGTTAGCCCTGTCTTGAAGCAAGAGGATGCGCTGGCTCTACGATTTCTGAAGGTCCCTCTGGCCCTCCTTTCTGCTAGTCATGTTTTTCTGTAGCCTCAGTATATCTATTGAAAATAGTCAAACTGGCACAAACCTGTTCCAGAGGAAGTGTGCTCTTTGCCCTTGATTTCTCTTTTCTGCGAGTAAAAATGGTTCCTCACTAAATTAGTAAGAGAGTTGATAAAGATGACCCAGAAGCTGGAATTTCTTGGAAAATAGAGGGAAAAAGCTAATTTGTCATGGATTAAACACACGTTTGAAATTAAGAACAGCTCTTTGTAGCATCTACTGTTGACCCGTTCCCAGGGTGGGATTCTGGATTTATGGGACCAAAATCTTAAATGGCAGCAGGGTGCTGGAGCAGAGGAAGGATTGCTGTTACAGGTTATTGCAAGTGTGATCATAAATAGACAGAATGGAAACTTCCATTTCCAGATTATTTATCCCCACGTTATTCCCGTGGATGTAGCGTGGGGCATCCTGGAAACCGTTTACAAAGAACAAAAGAAATGTGAAGGGGTGACGCACCATTTCTTCCGCGGGGGGTTCTGTGAGCATGCTCACGACCAGCACAGTGAGCGTGGAGATGGCGGCCAGGACCATGGAGAAGTAGAGGTAGTGCATGTACTTCACCACGCCTGGTCGGAGGTCGGTCTCGCCGCACTGGGGCTCTGGGTAGATGAAGTCCAGCACCAGCCGAATGACGCCCAGCAGCAGCCCGATGGCCAGGCCCCAGAACGCCCCCTAGGAAAGGCAGATCATGGGATGGTTTGGGTTAGGAGGGACCTTAAAGATCATCCAGTCCCATCCCCCCTGCCGTGGGCAGGGCCACCTTCCACCAGCCCAGGTTGCCCAAAGCCCCGTCCAACCTGGCCTGGAACCCTTCCAGGGAGGGGGCAGCCACAGCTGCTCTGGGCAGCCTGTCCAGGGCCTCACCCCCTCACAGGGGAGAATTTCTGCCTCAGATCTGATCTAAATCTCCCCTCTGCCAGTTTAACCCCTTACCCCTCATCCTATCCCTACACCCCAGAGTCCCTCCCCCGTTTCCTGCAGCCCCTTTCAGCCCTGGGGGGGCCGCTCTAAGGTCTCCCCGCAGCCTTCTCTCCTCCAGCTGAACCCCCCAACTCTCCCACCCTGTCCTCACAGGGGGGGCTCCAGCCCCCCCAGCATCTCCGTGGCTCCTCTGGCCCCGCTCCAGCAGGTCCGTGTCCCTCTGCTGTTGGTGCCCCAGAGCTGGACCCAGCCCTGCAGGGGGGTCTCCCAGAGCGGAGCAGAGGGGGAGAATCCCCCCCTGGCCCTGTGCCCACCCTGCTCTGGGTGCAGCCCAGCACACCGTTGGCTTTCTGGGCTGCCAGCACACGCTGCTGGCTCACAGTCAGTCTTCTACCCACTAATCCCCTCGTGCCCTTTTCCTGCCATTTGTATCCCAACAGCTGCCTTAACCCTGGGGGGCTGACAGCTGCCCTCCACCTAACCAAAACCTGCTTTGAGATGGTTTTACCCAACACCAGTTTTTGTGGAAAAACTGGAGGTTTAGGACTCCTGATGCCATTTAGTCTGGCTCCTTCACTCTCTGCGCTCACTGTGCCTTCTGCAGCCCCCTGATGCAGATAATACAAGTCCATACCAAGTCCAAATACAAGACCCTAACAGGGTCTGAGATGTATGAAGGACACTCTGAATCATCTCACTCCTGAAATGCCCGCGGAGCCTCTGAGAAGCAGCAGGAATTGCTCCCTCCTGTACTGGTGGTAGTTGCTTGGGTTGTGCGTTCCTGCTCCCAAACACTCCGAGAGGCAGCAGAACTGCAGCCTGGGCTGGTG